CAAGAGTAATCAACATCAAAAATATCAATGACTGAATAGACTAATTTGGTAGAACAAAGTATGGTATCACATTTTAGCATTGGGACACTATTTTATTTATATTTATGTGCTATAGGACTCTCACTTCATATCACTTGATTTATACCCTATCCGTTTCTTCTATCTTACAATAATGAATAAATCTTAAAAGTCGTACCTAAACTTGAAGGGCTTCCTGCCTTTAATTCTACAGCCGTAAACCTTGCTTCTTTGACTTTGACATAGTTTACTTTTATTTATTATTATTTTTCCTAATTGACATACATAATTTGACCTCACATAAAGGGTTAAAGACACCGTTGATCGCTAATAATGTAACGAAAATATGCCTTCGTATATTTTAAATTTATCCCTGAATTTAACCTTATTTTGAATTGATCGTTAAACTAAAACATTTGTTATCGTAACTATTGTTCAAGAACTCTTTTCTTGGTACCTTTTGGTCGTTTCTCATTTTCTCGTGATGGAATGCTCTTGAAAGTCAACCCTCCAAGGTCTAATCCATAAGAGTCATCCTCGATTTCTGTAGCATGAATAATCGTTTCATGTACGGCTTATCGAGCATTAAGTCTAGAGTTACAATATTTTGATAAGTTTATACATGAGTTCCGTTTTAGATAATTTGTAATTAAAACATGGACTACATATGATAAATATATTTACAGGCTGGCTTGGTTAAAGCCTGTCCGAATAGTTTGCATATTTTGATCCATTGTTCCTCCGAATCCACTTTACTTCACGCGTTTGTCCCCACTACTCATGTCACCAACCCTAAATATAATGCCAAAATGTTATATGCAATTTAACTTTTTTTTTTAGGGGTCCATTTAGATTATATTTTCATTCAATTCATCCTATTCTCCCTCTTTATATAGAATTTAAAAAAGTTGAAAGTCGCTTTTAAGATTAAAAAGTTGTTTTTGAATATATATTTGAATAATTTACTGACAATGTTTTGTCCGGTCAAAAGAGCTTCTTTATTCGGAAGCTTTTTCACAATAAGCAAAAATAAAAACAAAAGTTCTGCCAAATGGATCCTTATTGTTTTGGTGAAAATGAATTTCTTCAATTATACATCAATCATGTAAACGAATTACGAGTCCTTTTGAAGTCTTTCGATAAAACTGAAATCGAAATATTGAGTTAATTGTTCCAAAAGTCATTGAATTTAGGTCCATATTTTTTATTGGTCATTAAAATTTAAAATGTTGAATTTTGATCATTGAACTTAAGTCCATGTGTACGATTTCTCACTGAAATTTAAAATGTTGAGTTTTGGTCACTGAACTTTGAAAAATATTGTAACTCGATATATGTACAATATTTTTCAAATTTCAGTGATCAAAACTCTATATTTTGAACTTTAGTTAGTAGTTAAAGATATGAATCTAAGTTCAGTGATCAAAATTTGACATTTTAAACTTTAATTAACAATTAAAGATATGAACTTAAATTCTGTGACTATTGAAACAGTTAATTCAGAAATATTAGTATAGTCTTTTATATACACGTATCAGAAGTGGTACCTAACCAAATAATTTCACCACACGGCTCAAAAAACCTCCATACGTTAGTACTTCCCCGATGTCCCAACCATTGTTTACAGTGTTTAGCAAGTGGAGCAGAATCCACATAAAGGCATCACTTTCTAATACAATGGAACTTTCGAGTCTTTCTTGATTCTAAACGAGTCAAAAAAATAGTTTAATTACAAAATGTGTATGAACTTTTATCAATCGAATCATTATTTTAAGAAATACGAAACTTCTTCGCCTACCAAAGTCCAAACCCTTTTCCGCCATTTGTTTTTCATGCATAAATTCACCCGAATTATAGACACAGAAATATAAGACTACTACGTTTCTTGTGTTCTATAGCGAAGAATCAACAATCTGTTCCATTTACAATGGCTTCCTCTGTTTTCTTCTTCACTTTTTTCATACTGTTACAAATTTCACTATCTCATTCGAGTTTGATTCTACCGTTAACCCACTCACTTTCCACAACCCAATACAACACCACCCACCACCTTCTCAAATCTACCGCCGCCCGTTCCGCCAACCGCTTCCACCACCACCGCAACCACCGCCAAGTCTCCCTCCCGCTCACCCCTGGCAGTGATTACACCTTATCCTTTTCACTCGGTTCTCAAACTATCTCTTTGTATATGGATACTGGCAGCGACATTGTGTGGATTCCTTCTCACCCTTTCGATTGTATACTCTGCGAAGGAAAGTATAACCCTATTTCAGTCCCCAATCCCGGCCCTCTCAATCTTACCTCAGCCACACCAATCACCTGTAAACATCGTTCATGTTCGGTAGTCCATTCCTCTGCACCTTCCTCCGACCTCTGCGCCATGGCGAAATGTTCATTAGAAGAAATCGAAACAGGGGACTGCAAATTGTCGCCCTGTCCACCTTTTTACTATGCATATGGCGATGGAAGCTTCATTGCAAAGCTTTATGAAGACACTTTATCAATTCCGATGTCAACACCTTCTTTTAATCTGAAAAAGTTTACGTTTGGTGTTGCGCATAGTGCTCTTGGTGAGCCTATTGGTGTCGCCGGCTTCGGGCGGGGGCCTTTATCTTTGCCGGCTCAACTAGCCCGCGATTCTCCTGATATAGGCAACTATTTTTCGTACTGTTTGATATCGCACTCGTTCGACACTACCCATGTTCTTCGCAGGCCGAGTCCCCTCATTCTGGGACATAGATACTCGGGGGAGGAAAAAAGCAAAAATGAGTTAACCATGAATGATGACAACGGAGTTGTTTATAGCTACACCCCAATGCTTGAAAATCCAAAGCATCCCTATTTTTACAGCGTTGGGTTGGAGGCAATTTCAGTGGGGAAGAGGAAAATCCAAGCACCCAATAGCATGAAAAGAGTTGATAGAAAGGGTAACGGCGGAATGGTGGTGGATTCCGGTACCACTTTCACTATGTTACCAGCAAAGTTCTATGACTCGGTAATGAGGGAGTTTGACACCCGGGTTGGCGCGTTTTACAAGCGGGCGAGTGAGGTCGAGGACCGGACTGGACTCAGTCCGTGTTATTATGGTGATGTCAAAGAGAAAAATTTCAGAAATGTACCTCAATTGTTGTTGCATTTGGGAGGGAATTCAACCGTGGTGATGCCGAGAAGGAATTACTTTTACGAGTTTTTAGAGAATGATGGAAAGGTGAAGCGGCGCGTAGGTTGTATGATGCTGATGAACGGTGGCGCTGTGGCAGATGAGGATGATTCCGGCGGGCCGGCGGGGCTGTTGGGGAATTACCAGCAGCAGGGGTTTGAAGTGGTTTATGACTTGGAGAAAAAACGGATCGGGTTCGCCCGGAGGCAGTGCGCATCTTTGTGGGATAGTCTGAACTAGCGCTAACGTGCGCATAGGAGAAAAGTCAAAATGGGGTGTACTTTGACTTAAGGTCTGGTCAAACGGGCCATGGGATAGATCGGGTCATGCATATCTTTTGCTTCTGATATAATTTTCGATGGTAAAGTGTTGATAAATACTGGGGGATAATAAAACTGTAAATTTTTGTCGATAATAATATAAAACTGTAAATTTCAATTTGGTCCAGCAATAATTCGTCCAAGAATTGTCCCAGTCCACTACAAGCATGTTTGGTAACGATTTTAATCCAATTAATATCAATTTTTTTATTGTTATTTCACTATTTCAGTCGTCATTTTAAAATTCTTTTCTCACATGTAAGATTCACTTTATCTCTAACGGTCAAAAAATCAATTAACAAAATTCTTACCAAATAAGCACTATATTTTTTCAGTTTATCGATCTTTTTGGAAATGTCATCGTATGTCTTTTTGAGGGGTGTTGAGAATTTATTTGTAGAGATGGGAATAAATTTCTACGTCTTACTATGGTGTGTAAAGTGCAAGCATACTAAGGAAGAAGTAAACAACCTAGATACTAGTGAAAATTTCACTACGTCCCATCTTATTTTTTTATCAGTAAATGTAAAATTCTATTAATCAAAAATCATATATAAATACACAAGGCATATCTGGACAAACAACATTAAAGTGAAGAATACAAGTACACCGAGCAAACAAAATACAAATGATAAAAATTATGGACTCAATGCTAAAGAGAATTAAAACATGGTGATAAGTTGATCAAATCTTTAAATAGTGAAATTTTTTGCAGGGTAATTGATGAACATTGTGGGTTGCTGTTAATGGGGGCACAGCTGTAAGAATATTTTATGGACCAGGGAATCAGTTAATGGGGTCTGATCGCGGATACTTGAAAAGAAGTAGAATTTAATGTCTAAGCTCATACAATGCACCTAAGTTGGGAAATGTGGGGGTGTATTACATTGGGGAATGTCTAGGTCAATTTCTTGGATCAAGTCAATAATTTTTTTGTATTTACAAAATATGAGAGTCACAAACCTAAGAAAAATCCTCTTAATTAATTAGATGGTTGGATAGGAGTTTGATGAGTGTCTGTGTCACTCATAATAAAAATACCATTAAAATTTGATAGTTATAGAATAGGTGAATTGGTGATTCTAAGAATTTTCAAACGTTCTGATGTGGGTTTTGTGTGTTCGTGTTATAGAATAGGTGAATTGGTGGAAAAGAAGTTAGAAACGATCTAAGAGTTGTGTTGATATGAAACAAGGAAAAGAGGAATTGAAACCTTGCAAATTATGCAAAGAAAGATGTGAAGTTGAAGAAAAAACAAAGAAAATATTACAGTCGTGACGCTCAAGCACCACATTCATCCGGCGAAGCAGAATTTTAATAGAGATTGGGCGCTCGGGCACCGTCCAGCAGAACCAAAAATCTTATGCAAGGTAGCGCCTAGGCTCTGGGCACCGTTTAGTTATTTTTATTTCTATTTTTTTTTTCTCATTCTTTTAGAAGCCCAATTCAACCTTAGCACTTCAAGAAAGCATAAATACAACTCTTGAGGGCACTTTTCATACACACTTCGACGAGGCGAAATCAAGAGATCAAAAAATTGAGAGATAGGAATAGTGAGAAGAAGACTAATTCAAACTCCAAAAATACTTATTTATATTTATAATTATGAATTCTAGATTTTCTTATTCTCCAATAATGAACTAAGTTACTCATCTAGAGGTTTAGATGTAATCTAAATTTGAAACTATGTTATGATTTTCAATATTTAATTCTTTGAGGTTTTCTTTTAAAGCTTATTTGTTGTTTATTATTAATGCTTTCAATTAACAGGTCACTAATTGATCGATTTGATGTTTAAGTTTCGTCACTCAAAAGAGGAAATTGTAAACGTGATAATAGAATAACAAAATTTAGAATATTATAGGTTTCGAGAGAAAGTATAATTATTTTGGAACGTTCCCACAAAGAACCATGAACTTAATAATTCTAAGATTTTTTTTATTCGGAATATAGATATTGGAATTGGAGTTCAGGAATGATTTTCACTCGACCTCGAGAGAATGAGTAGAAATATATTAGGATTCTTGCTTATATACTTGAAAAATCAATTGGAGATAAATAGAGAATTAAGAGACATAATTGCATGATAAATTATATTCAAACCCCCTCCATGTGAGGAAGTTGTAAAACATTATAGGGATTTTTTACAAAAATGTCACGAAAAATGAAAATTTCAAAAAATTTGTCATTTTCACTTTATATGAGAAAAAATGTCACTTTTTTAGGGTGAAAANAAATGTCACGAAAAATGAAAATTTCAAAAAATTTGTCATTTTCACTTTATATGAGAAAAAATGTCACTTTTTTAGGGTGAAAAATCCATATTGCCCTTAATGACACATTTTTAGTAGCATTTAATGCTTGATTTGAAGGAAAAGTATTGATTTGATGTGATGATTTAATTTTTATATAGAAAACATTGATAAATGGGTATTTTATTGAATAATATGAATTTTTGTTAATAAAAAAGGGTAAAAAAAATTTTAAAATGAAACATAAATTACAAACCCTAACTTTTCTCTATCTTCTTCATTTTCATTGATCAAGAAGACATTTTTGTTACATTCTTCATCCATTTTGATAGGTTAGTAATTACAAATTATTTATATTTTACTCTTATAACTTTTTGTTTTGTAAATGTTAAATACAACATGAGCATACTTATTTGAAATTTTTGAAACTATTATGCATTGATTTTTTGTTTTGGAGTCCTTCACAAAATATTATTATCACTATTAAGGTTTTGAGTAATTTCTTCCAATCAAACAAAATACTGTTTTCATTAAATGTCTCTTTAATGACAAGGCCAATCTGACCTATTCATTTTGTCATTTGGTAACTCAATAGTAATGACCACACTTAATGTGTTGTGCTGTGCTGTGCTGTGCTGAAGAAGCCTGAGTTCTACCCGCTGCCATTTGCTTCCCGACATTTTCGATAGTTTAACAGTCGAGTTTGACATTTACAAACCGTTGGGTTAGATGTTTGAAATGTTGAAGCCGACATTTACAAACTATCGGGATATACAGTTTTACTGTCAATTTGGACACTTCAAAACGATGAAAATCCTTGATTTGACCTTTTGCTATTGTACGGATTTACGTATTATGCAGTGCCACTTTCATGTTATTAAATGCCAACATATTGATTTTGAATTCTTATCATTGTAATCCCAACATTTCAGGTAGTAATAATTTGAGATTCATGGTGCTCAACGCTTACCTCCTCGTCGTCCGAGAATAAAACGATGGAAAATTCAGCGGATGAACCCAGTATCAGTGGATGCATATTGAGTTGAATGGTTCGTTGCTGGAAGTGGATGAACTCATTGTCTCGTATCAACTAACCGTTTCAATACGAGAGTCTCACAACAACGTCTCTAGTCTTTCAAGGGGTAGTTTATGAACATGAAGTCCTGCACTAGTATTTATAATTGGCCAAAGAGGATGGTTAATTAAGGTCAATTAGTTCCCAACTACCAACTTATTCTCATCACATCTCAAATTTAATTTGATAGACTATTGGTGTGATGCCTTGAATATCTAAGTGTACTTGTATTAGTCAGACTTATAATTTGCAAAAAATGATAAACTTACAATCTCTATAATTTTCATTTATAAACTAAGACATTTGTATTGGTCAAACTTATAATTTCCATTTTTCCTAAAGTGAGAAACTTATAAAATGTACCAATTCTCTCATTTTTCGAAAGCGAGAAACTTATAAAATGCACCAATTCCATTTTTCAATTGCACAACATCCCGACATGTTCAACTGTCAGTCCCGACGATGTTTTATTAATTCTCGACAGGTGACGACTGTCAGTCCCGACAAATGTTTTATTCATTCTCGACAGTTGACGAAAACGTGCACAACATTAAAAATCAGGTTAATGTAAATGGTAAACTGCAGAAGAAATAAAGAATAATAAACATAAGGAAAATTTTATACCACAATATCTTTGATATAATATAATTAATCCTCCAACTCTACGGTTGTTCAAAATACTTGAAGAGAGGAAGCAAAACCTTGTATATTTTTCTTGTCCACTTAAAAATGTTTTTTTCACTCCCCACTAAATAAATTCTAATTTGCAACATTGTAAATAGTAGACTCAATTGACAGCGCATGATAAACACCATTTCGTAACATCCGCTCAACCTTCGGTGTTCCCCATCAAATTATTGACTTACATTATTATATTCAAATTATATCGTCATCACCATTTCTAATTCGTTTACAGACAAAGAAATACATGTTCAACTTTACAAGCAAAATACGAATCCATTTACAACATACTGTATTACAACCCGACAGTTCATATGTCGTACCCGACAGATTGTCTCTGTTATTCTTGACAGTTGGACCGGAGTACATAAAATACACTACTTGGATTATAACGTAAACAAGAAGTAAGAAGAGGGGAGAGCTAGAGTCGGTTGGAGAGGAAAATGAAAATCTCCATCAATTTTTTCATTAATTAGAAGATAAATTGTCAACAATTGAGTAGTGAGATGAGAGATGTGATGTTTTAAAATTTTTTGTACTATTTTTTCATCTAGTCAAATTTATATTTAATGAAGGACGTGAAGGGTATTTTGAATTATCTAGAGTGGCAAAATTGTCAAAAATTGACAATCTTACAATGACTTTTAAAAAAGTGACATTTTTGTAAATGAAAAGTCAAAAGTTGACACATGATATAATTTCCACAACAACATTATATACACGGAATGTGTACATGTAGCATCACTCTTGTGATTAATTCGGGTTGTGCTAGCTACACTTAGCCCCTGTTTGGTCTTTATTATTTTTTTTCAAATTTTAATGTTTGGAACAGTGTTTTTTGAATGATGTGTGGTTGAAAAAGAATAAAAAATTTTACGATTTACGTGTAATATTATTTTATAAAAGATTGTGTGGTTGAAAGTAAGAGGGAAAAAAATGAAAGAGAATGAGGGCGAAATGGGGCATAGTGCATGAGATGGAGCAAGAGACTTTACGATTGAGTATTCGCGGAATGGATCTCAAGTTCCAAAAAAATCATGACAAATATATTGACTAGTCAAGACAATAACAAATGCAATTTCGAATCTTGACAAACTTGATCATTGTAAATAGACAAGTTTCTTGACATCCAGAC